GTGTTGTCATCAGAGGGCTGTTTTGAGGTCCCTTTGGGTTAGTCTGATTAGACGATGCTCCCTGAATGGATTGAAATACATTGACAGTAATGGGAAAGAGAAGTGTTCGAGTACACTTTTGAGTGTATATTGATGCCGATCTGTGATGGCTTGTTGATGTGAATAGAAGAGTTTAGATTGTATAAGCTTGTATACCGGTCAAAAGCTTGGAGTTGGTAAGATTGTTTAAATGTTTTTTAAAGAAGCCTCTTATGCTCAGCAAGGCTGCATTTATTTAATCAAAAATCCAGTAAACCAGTAGTATGGTGAAATATTATTTCAATTTAAACTGTTTTCCATTTGAATAGAATTTAAAAAAATAATGTATTCCTGTAATGGTATAGGTGAATATTTAGGATCATGTTACATGATCCTTCAGAAATACTGATTTGGTGTTCTCTCTTGTTATTATCAATGTTAAAAACAGTTGTACTGCTTAATATGTTTTAGGGAAACATGACTATTTTCAGTATTCTTTGTTGAATAGAAAGTTCAAAAGAACATCGGTTAAAACATCATTAATGTCTTTACTGTCACTTTTGATCATTTTAATGCATCCTTGCTGAATAAAAGTATTAATTTCTTTTAAAAGAAAAACACTTTTTTTCAGTGGTAGTGTATTTTGTACCAAAGTGCACTGCATTTAACTTGCTGCTATTGTCAGCATAAAAACAAGAGTAGAAAAATGAATTTAAATTTTGAATCACAGGTTCTCATCGTGGACTTTTGAACCCTACTGCTTTTTTTCCTGTCTTTCAATAATATAAGTTTCTATGATCCACATTGGGATGTGAATTGGTTTTTGTATACAAATATATATATATGTATTCTCTCACACATGTATCTGGGATATTTGTGTTTTCTGCAATGCAAGGAAACCTAGAGGTCTAGCAGTTTCTTTCTATGTAGTTTCTCGATTAGGGTGGAGTTTTCTTGGGAAAAATGCTATGCTGGCTTCTTACTCGACTTTTGCGCTTCTCCCTTGAAAACCAAATGGAGGACAATCCAATGTATGCCTGATTCCATCAGACTGCTCTAGAGACATTAGTCTCTGACCCCCTCACACACACACACGCACACACATAAATACATATAAGCAGGCGCTCACACATACATGCATTCACACACAGAGCTGCATGTTTTTAATTGGCAAAATTAAGATAAGATAAAAATAAAGAATTATTTTGTTTTTTGTTGAAGAAATGAGTTAGTTGAGTAATAGTAAGGAGATAGTGAAGGAGAAGCATCCAATAAGTGTTCAGCACACTTATGAATTTCTTCAGTACTGTTTAAAAAGAATCCCAGGGTTGAATGGTGTACTTAAAATATTACAGTAGATGATTCTGCTAGTGCGAATAAACTAACTTTAACAGGTGTATGTCTATATCCATTTCCCATGAATCATAGCAGTTTATGTTCGAGCCAACCTGTTTGTCTGCTGTCTCCATCCTCACACTGCCTCTTGTGTCCATGCTCTAGAGCTCTGGGCCAATGCGGATGTTGCCTGCACACAAGATTAGTGAAAGAAGATTATGTTTCGACTGTTTAATTATGGCTATATGTATTTATGTGCATCTCCATATCGACCATTCTCATAAACATCTGCCAGTCTTTATTCTATCGAGAAGGAAAAAGAATTTTGCTCATTTTTTGTCTTTTGATTTTTTTAACAGTGCATGTGTCATAACAATATATATTCTAACTGACTAATTTCTGTATTTAATAATTTAACAGGTGTATGTCTATATCCATTTCCCATGAATCATAGCAGTTTATGTTCGAGCCAACCTGTTTGTCTGCTGTCTCCATCCTCACACTGCCTCTTGTGTCCATGCTCTAGAGCTCTGGGCCAATGCGGATGTTGCCTGCACACAAGATTAGTGAAAGAAGATTATGTTTCGACTGTTTAATTATGGCTATATGTATTTATGTGCATCTTCATATCGACCATTCTCATAAACATCTGCCAGTCTTTATTCTATCGAGAAGGAAAAAGAATTTTGCTCATTTTTTGTCTTTTGATTTTTTTTAACAGTGCATGTGTCATAACAATATATATTCTAACTGACTAATTTCTGTATTTAATAATGTATTTATAATATGATTTTAAGTTGCAATGTTTCCCTTACCGTGATGTGTTCTGTCAAAATAACATAGTTAATAGTTATTGTTGCAACATTAAAATCAAACCGGTTTTTGTTGGTTCTAAGTTACCACAGTTTTATCACAGTTGCAAAAAATTATTGTAGTAACTATAGAATTTTGGTGAAAACTATGGTCATCATGGTGAATAAAAGAGTGTTTTTAATATATATATTATCAAATTTATGAAAATTATTTTCTTATCTTTCTTGCATCACAAGAAAATGTGAAAATTAAAACATAAAACGTTTATCATTAATTAAAAAACAAAAACAGCTATGTCTGTTTGTGTTGTCGCATTTTATTATGCTAACCAATATTCGTGTACTCCGTATCCTGTTCAGAGGGAAGTAACTGTATGAGAGAAGGTGAGGAGAGAGACTGCATCAGTATTCTGTTCCTCTAGTAGGATTTTAACCAGCTAATCCAATCAGAGAGCCCCTGGGAGTCGCTCTCTCGCCTCTCCATAAACAATAGCATCTGACTCTAGGATCGTTTGAGAGCCCTGGCCCTGGTGCGATGAAGATTTTTGTATTAGGAACAATGGGATCAGACTTAAGCAGCATCTGACTGACAAGGCCATCCACCTTGGCTCACTACTTTGGAGAAGAAATTTCACTCGGTTACAGCTTAAAAGAACAAAGTTCTGAACGATAGCATCACGTTTGGATAATTGATAATGGCTGTTCTGAAACCTACTTTTTAAGGCATTTTAAGGCATCATAGGCTCTCCTGATGCGAAGCTTGTTTCAAAATATAATCTGCAAAATATCTTGTTTTGGAGCATCATGTTTCCCAGAATGTATTGCAACAAGCTCAAATGGCGGACAGCGAAATGTTACTATACCATATTTTCCAGAACACAAAACACGATTGTTATCATCTGAAATGTGCTGCATCTTATATTCCAAAGGGGTACTCAACAGACGGCCAGCGTTGGATTAGCATTGGATCATAAATATACTTTATTTTTATGAAAATACCAGCGATGGCTTGAAGAACACAGATAAACCATATATTGTCATTCGTGTGTTTACTGTATTCATGTTTGATCAGTTTAAGCGTTTATATCTTCTTTTTATTCAGTCATAGCTATAGCTAGATGCCTTTGCTCATATTAGGGATTTCCTGGAGCGTCATGAGTTCTATTATGTCTGTGATGCCTATGTGTAGTTTCCACATGAGGGCGCCCTCTGGTGTCCAGTATGAAACAGATTACATGTGTTTAGCGCTCAGTAATGTGCACTCCACCCTATTTTGGGCATAAACAGGAAAAATAATCCTTTTCTCTAAAGAACTCTATTTGCTCAAGAATGTTTTGTTTGAATATAGAGTTTGTTCAATACTCTTGAGTATGAATGCATTTTTTTTTATTAATATAGCAAAAAAACTTTTAATCCATTTTTTTGGTCTAGATTTTCTTTTTTATTATTAAAACTGCAAATATTTTCTTTAATAAAGTCTGATGATGCAAATGGTAATTTGTGGCCCTTCGCATTTTATGCGATTTAAATTTCACGTTCGCTTTATGCTTGGTGTTTATAATAAAAGTTATTTATACAGGAACGTAATATGTCATTTATACTAATATGCTAATTTATACTTAATTTTCAAAATTCTGTTCTATTCTGAATAATGTTAAATTTGTAGAGTTACAAGAACTAAAATACAAGTTTGTAGTGTTTATAATGTTTGTAAATGACTTCAACAATGTCATTTTGGCCTAATCCGACTTATGTGACTTAAATTCAGCATTAAAATGCTCTGTTTTATTTAATAATTCAGTATTTTTTACTTGTTAGAGTGTTACACTGTAAGCTTTTCAATATGATAACAAGTCTACGGTCAAATTTAAACACTATGCATGACCTGTAGAGTAAATCCTCTGTGCAAGAGTCTGTACAGTGGGCTAATGATATCGTCTATGGAGGATAATGCAGGCTGATGTTGTGTCAGAGGGGCAAACGTGCGACATGTCATAAAAACTCTCTCTGTAGTTCTCATTGGGTTCTGATGATCTCCACCAACCACCCAGCCAAAACAATAATGCCGTTTGTCATCATTATTAAGGTGAGAAGACACATTGAAGTAGCAATTAAAGTATAATTTAGCTCCATGACACGTGTCATCCACGGAACTTCTCGACCCCTTGAGTGTTGCATTCCACTGGATTTATATCCACACACACGCAGGATCCTTAATCCTTGCCCTAAATGTGGCTTTCTCTGCATCGCACCTCTGATACCACAAGCTGTGCAATTTGTCACCAGCACACCAGGCAGATTGGGCCTATTGTATAAGCATCTATTGTTGTGTGATGCCCTTGGTCTCCGTGGCTAATGCATCGGACACGGTCCCTGCAGGGGACAATGAATAGATCATCCTAGACCTTTATACACATACAGCATGATGGCCTCATAGCCTCGTTGAGCACGCGGGTCAAAGGTTTGTTCATATTAAACTGGTTTATATGTCCATCTAAACAAAGTTCTCAAGCTTCTCTGATCCTGGTTATTTGTTCAAAAGTCTGTTTTGGAGGTTAAAGGATCTAATTGTTTATCTGACAGGAAATCAATGTTTAATCAGTTCTCTTAATCCTTTCCAAGTTGAAATCACCTGTTTTAGGCTGCATCATGTGGCGGTAGTTGAACTCAACAGGCAGGCCTTACACTTGAACATGTTTGTTTGTTTTATGGTTCTTTTTGGAATCTAAGTCATTATGGAGAAAGATTAGAAAGTGTCTATAAAGAGTTTCACAATAGTTGAGTAGTTGTAATAGTCGATATCTTTTATAACTCTAAACTTCTTTTCTCTCACAGGATGATGAAGGACAGACCGCACTGCACTATGGTAAGAACAGAACTATGCTGTGGCATTAAATTTTTTTATTCTTAAACTTCAAATGGGAGTCATATATGTGACCCTGGACCACAAAACCAGTCATAAGGGTCAATTTTTTTTAAATTGAGATTTATAGATCATCGGAAAGCCGAATAATAAGCTTTCCATTGATGCATGGTTTGTTAGGATAGGACAATATCCTATCCGATTTGAAAATCTTGAATCTGAGGGTGCAAAAACATCAAAATATTGAGAGAAAATAATGCTATATTAATAATGCTATTGCTACAAATATACCCCAGCGACTTAAGACTGGTTTTG